GATGTAAGGTTCTAGATATATGTCAGTTAAGTCTCTTTGATTCAGTGTGTCATTCAGTGCCACAATATGTTTATTCATGTTTTGTTTGGAATATCTGTCCATTTTTGACCTTGGGGTGTTGAAATCCCCTACTATCAGTGTATTGCTGTCTATATGTTTTGAAGTGATCCAACAATTTCCTTATAAACTTGTGGGCTCCTATACTGGGAGCATATAAGTTTACAATGTTGATGTCGTGTTGGTAGATTCTTGCTTTAACTATTATAAAGTGCCCCTCTGAGTCTCTTTTTATGGCCTTTGTTTTGAAATCTACTTTGTCTGATACAAGTATGGCAACCCCGGCCTTTTTTTCCTACCCATTTGCTTGGAATATTTTGTTCCATCCCTTTACTTTCAATCTGTGTAGGTCTCTTGCTCTGAGGTGGGTCTCTTGTAGGCAGCATATGTGTGGGTCATGTTTTCTTATCCATTCAGCTACTTTGTGTCCTTTGATTGGGGCATTTAGTCCATTCACATTGAGAGTTATTACTGATAGAAACTTACTCATCTGTTCTCTTTGTACCTGTGTTCCTCTCTCTGTCATTCTTTTCCTTCATCTGCTTAAACCAGTCCCCTTAGCATATCTTGGAGTGCTGGTTTGGTAGAGATATGTTCTTTTAGCCTTCTCTTGTCTGGGAAACCTCGTATTTCCCCTTCTATTTTAATTGAGAGCCTAGCTGGGTAGAGCAGCCTTGGCTGTAGGCCCTCGCTTTTCATGGCTTGGAATATTCTTGCCATTCCCTTCTGGCTTGTAGTGTTTCTGCTGAGAAGTCAGCTTCTAGGCGTATCAGGGCCCCCTTGTATGTTACTTTCTCCTTCTCCCTTGCTGCCTTGAGGATTCTCTTTGTCTTTGATAGTTGCCATTGTAATGATGATGTGTCTTGAAGTGGACCTCTTTGAGTCCCTCTTGAGTGGGGTCCTCTGTGCCTCCTGGATCCATGAGACCCTTTCTCTCCTCAAATTAGGGAAGTTTTCCATCATTACTTTTTCAAGGAGGTTCTCTATCCCTTGCTCCTCTTCTTCTCCTTCTGGTATCCCTATTATACGGATGTTACTGTGTTTCAGGTTGTCCTGCATTTCCCTAAATGCCTCTTCATTCTTTTTGAGTCTTTTTTCCATTTCTTGTTCTTTCTGGGAGCTTTTTTCTACCTTATCCTCCATCTCACTGATTTGATCCTCAGCTTCATCCAGCCTGCTTTGGATTCCTTCTACTGTGTTCTTCAATTCAGAAATGGTATTCTTCATATCCTCTTGTGTCTTCCTGATAGTTTCTATGTCCTTTTCCAGGTTGATATAGTTTGCTGTAAGATCCTGATAGTTTCTCTGCAGTTTCTCAGTTATTTTTGAGCTGGCTGAGCTCATTGAGCTTCCTTAGAACCATTGTTTTGAATTCCGTATCTGATAGTTCCCGTGCCTCTATTTCATTTAGCTCTCTCTGTGGGGAGTCCCTTTTTCCACTCATTTGGGGGGAACTTCTTTTTCTTCCCATTTTTGTGAGAGTCCATTAAGTAATTTAGTTATTTTTTAAATTTATTTTTGCTTGTGCTTCAATTGGGCTGTCTAGATTTCCTGACTCGTGGGTTAAACTTCTATGGTAGTAGGTGGGTCTTTTTATTTATTTATTTATTTTTGGCCTTTAGTTTTCTGTCTGGGCCTGCCTCTGATTATGTTAGTTGTTGACCCTATATGACCTTGGGTCATTTGAGCCTTCCAGGAGTCTACTGTCTGTGTGTGACTCCTGCTTTGGGCAGCTCTGTGACCCCTTCACTCAGGGGTAGGGTATTTTTTGGGTTCGCTCTGCAGTCTCACGCCGGCTCCTTGAGCGCGCTCCCTGGCGTGGCAGGATCCCCCGCTTGCCTGGGCTCGCGCATTCTTGCCCCAGCCTAGGGGACTTATTCGCGACCTCGCGTACTCATCTGTCCCCCTTGGCCGGGGAGCTCCCCGGCACTGGTCAGTTTAGCGTCTTCTATTGTGTGTCTTCCCTGCTTTTGGCTCTTTGGGTGTGTTGCTTGCCCTCGCCAAATGGGGACTACGGAAATGGGAGGAAGTCAGCTCCAGGACTCTCTGGTTAATCCTGTCTCCCGTCTCTCCTCCAGGGACTCTGGGCAGTTGTGACCCCTTCGGCCAGGGATCTACTAATTTTGTTTTGGGCCGCTCTGCAATCGCAGGCCGGGCAGGTAAATTTATGCTTGCCCTTGCCACTCTGTGCACTCCCTCGCAGGCCATATCGGTGCCAATCTGTGGGAGGCCATGCCGGCCGGTGCAAGCATGTGCCAGCCTGCGCGGGTCACACACACGCTCACCAACCCTCACCGGTCACTCGGCGGAAGTGTGCACGCCTGCACTGGGTGGTTTTGGAGTGCTCTCTGTGTGGTTTTCGGCTTCTGGCTCTTTGGGGGTGTGGCCTCTTCCCGCGCAATGGAGACTACGGCAAGGAGGAGTCAGGACTCCCCAGTTCTTCCTCCCATTTTTTCCCAACGCCTCCGTTTCTAGTCTCTCCTCAGGGGTCTCTGGGCAGTTCTGTGACCCCTTCAGCCAAGGATCCACCCCCTGTGCGGTCTGCGTTTCAATCGCAGGCAGTCTGGTTCCTGCACGCCCCTCTCCTACCTCTTTGGGAGCGCGCCTTTCCAGCCCACAATGGAGACTACGGAACAGGGAGGGAGTCGGGGCTCCCTGGTTCCTCTTCCTGTTCTTTCCCCAATGCCTCCGTTTCCAGACTCTCCTCAGGGGCCTCTGGGCAGTTCTGTGACTCCTTCAGCTAAGGATCCACCCCCTGTGCGGACTGCGTTTCAATCGCAGGCAGTCTGGTTCACGTGCTCTCTGCTTCTGCCTCTTGGGGTCACGCCTTTCCAGCCCACAATGGAGACTACAGAACGGGGGAGAGAGTCGGGACGCCCCGGTTCCTCCTCCCATTCTTCCTCCAACGCCTCCGTCTCCAGTCTCTCCTCAAGGTTCTCCCAGCCAGTCTGCACTCAGCCCCACAGCTCACAAGCGTACAAGCTGTGTGCAAAGTGCACAAAAGACAGGTTAATTGATTCCCTTATGCCCGAGTGAGATGGTAGCTGCAGCGTGGGAGGCGTGCCATCACCCGTCTCCACTGGCCGCTGTGTGAGTTCTCTTCACAAAGTTTTCCTCACCAGTCTTTTCCCAGGCACCAGCCCACCCTGCTGCTGCCTCTACCCAGAGATCAAGGAAGGTGGCTGCGACTGCAGTTTTTGCACTGGCCCTTTAAATGTCTCTTTGCATCCCCAGCCACCTGTCTCTGGCAGAAAGTGCCCCTAAGCTTTTCAGGGTTCCGTTTTGTCTGTTTTCTTGGTTTTAGCTGCTGTAGTTTAGGGGTTCCTGTTTATGATTCAGACCCCATTCTTGGGGGAAGCTAACTGGCCATTTCAATGTCCCTCTGGTGCTAGTGCCCGTGGGCACCCAGCCCACCCTCTTGAGCCTCCACCGCACTTCTCACCCATTGGGATGTGTGAGAGTGGAATCCACTGTCCGCGTCACCAAGGCTCCTCTCCCACCATCGTTCCATTGTTTCCTGGTGATTACTCCACTATTTAGTGCAATTCCATTGGTATTGGGAGGTGGTCAGCGTGACTCCCATTCACTCCTCCGCCATCTTCTCCTCTCTGGACAGATTTAAACATGGCCACAAACCGACACTGAGAGGTAATGAATGGTCTGTGCCCCCTGCCATAGAGTCTAATTGAGCTCAGTGGTCTGTTCGGGCCTATAGAATATAATGGAAATGACTCTGAGCCAGTTTTTGGGCTAGGCCTTACGAGATGGCCAGCATTTGATTTCTTGATCCTAAACTTTAGTTGCCATCCTGTGAGGAAACTCATGGATAGGCACTGAGTAAATGGGCCATTTCAGAAGTGGATTCACTAATTTCAGCAGATCCACTCCAATGACACTACATGGAGACAAATGAGCAGTCCCCAGTGAGTCCTGACCAGATTGGTTATTTGTAAGCAATATAATTCTTAATGTGATGTTATTATACAGCAATAGAAAAGAAGGTACAAATATAATTATACATCAAGTGAAAGTGGAACATTTGTATTTATCCCGCTGAGTGGTTTCCATTCTCTGTGAAGTAGTCTGTAGGAATGCCTCTTCAGTTACTTAGTTCCTTGAACCCCATTGAAAAACTTATGTGCTGAGCACCCACTATGTGTTAGACATGGTTCTAGGCAGTGAGGACAAAATGGATATCCAGAGGACACCTCAGCCCTCATTAAGCTTATATTCAATCAAGATGCAAAATACTTCATTTCAGACACACACATTATCGCTCCATGAGAATCCCTGGGAATTGTTTACATAACACGATCATGTACAGAGGCCAGTTTGATAGGATTATCTGTCTTTCATGCTAGCCCTGATGATTTGTCAAGGTACTAAATCTGCTTCCCTATAAGAACCCAGGTCCTGACTCCTAACTGTGACTACTACATACCTTTCAAACACTTGGATTTTTCATAAGCCTCTGGTCTAACTAGGATTTTAGGAGTGATCGGTGGTCTCTACCAATTCCTAGAGGCCAAGGATACAGAAACTCTATTTGGTGTTCTTTCCTGGTTTTCCCAGAACTCTCCTATGATGTTGGTCTGAAATGTCCTGCATTTCAGTTAGGTATTCACCAGGAAGCAAGTACAAAACTCAAGTTTGACTTGTGTTCAACTTCTTAAACCAAAAACGCAAAATGGAGGTAAGGTGTATTTAATACAATCAGACATAAATATCTCAAGTAGTCTATAATTCACACAAAATCTAACTTGGAAAACACAAGTGCTCTGACGTGTATTTAAAAGGCTTTATGTAAAGTTTGCATCAGAAGATGCCCATTAGTTATTGGTGATGGAAGGCAAAGAGATTATACAAAATATTTTTTTTTTTTGAGAGACTATCTTGTTCTTCATTAAAAAAAAAAAAAAAAAAAAAAAAAAAAACCATTTCAGCCCCTGGCTGGTGTGGCACAGTGGACTGAGTCCTGACCTGCAAACCAAAGAGTCACTGGATTGATTCCCAGTCAGGGCACACACTTGTGTTGCGGGCCAGGTCCCCAGTAAGGAGTGTTCGAGAGGCAACCACAAATCAGTATTTCTCTCTCTCTTTCTCCCTCCTTTTCCCTCTATCTAAAAATAAATAAAATCTTTAAAAAAAAAAAATTCAGGTTAATTTTTTTCCCAAGAATTTAGGAAGAAAATCCACAGGAAATCATTGCAAGCAGAATGATACCCATCAGTCAGATTTTGAATAATCCTTCACTCTGATTTCTTGTCAGCTAAAATTATTTTCTAGTTCATCCAATTTCCATAGGTGAGTCTTCTTAACAAGGAGTATCAAAACTAATAATGACACTTTTTATTTTGGTTTCACTCTCCTTTTGGCATCTTTATGTTTCTTCCGACAATCCTATAAAAACATAAAATCAAAAATGTCTTTGTTAAAAATAAATGTAAACTATTTTTAAGTTCTGTAACTATAAAGTAAAACTTAGGGTTAATCAGTACGGAGGTTGTGGAAATCATTTTAGAAGTGCTCACCTGGAATGAACAGGGACTATTTAAATTTTTGTCTTTAAGTGTTTACAATGGAAACTAACTCAGTCTTTCAAAAGTCTCATGATTTCCTGTTACTTAATGAACAGGGCTGGAACTCAGACCAGTCACTCAATTCATCCAGTCTTCAGTCTCCACCTGTACTGTATGTGTTGGATTAAACAATGTCAATGCTCCCTTCCAACATTCTCAGTTGTCATCCTTTTTGTCAGTTTTGTACCTTATTATCTTATTCTTACACAAGGCATATATTAACACAAATATAAAATTGTATCTATTTATGGGGCAATCGATATGAAGATACAATTACTCACCCTATGCAGGTTGTTTGTTCTGGCCTCCCAAGAATTCCTACTAATATTACCTCCTGTTCCTTTCCAGAATAAGTCAGAACCTACTAAGGGAAGATCAAAAAAGATAAAGCAACAAACTAATACCAAAAAGGATAATAGTCTATGCTGGCATTATCAAGGTCTTCAATTCTATTTAAGACTTTCCCCACATCCTCAATTTATAATTTTAAAATCATTTTTTTATTTTTCAATTACAGTTGACATGCAGTATTAATTTTCAGGTGTACACTGCAATGATTAGACATTATATAACTTACTAAGTGATCATCCCAATAAACCTTGTACCCATCTGACATCATGGTTTTAGAATATTATTGACCATATTCCCTGTGCTGTACTTTTTACATCCTTGGGACTACTCTGTACCTACAAATGTGAACTTCTTAATCCCTTTACCTTTTTCACCCATCCCAATCCACCTCCCATTAGACAACCATCAAAATTTTCTCTGTATCTATGAGTCTGTTTCTGTTGCTTGTTGGTGTATTTTATTTAGATTCAACTATTAATAGATATATATTTAATGCCATTTCACTGTTCATATTTTTATTTTTTTTCTTTTTAAAGAAGCCCCTTTAACATTTCATGTTAATACTGGTTTGGTGGTGAACTCCTTTAGATTTTTATTGTCTAGGAAGCCCTTTATTTCTCCTTTGAGTGTAAACAATAGCCTTGCTAGGTAGTCTTGGTTGTAGGTTATAGTTTATTACTTTGAATATTTCATGCCAACCCCTTCTGTCCTGAACTATTTAATATCAGCTGAGAGTCTAGTGGGAGCTCCCTTTTAGTTAACTGCTTTTCTCTTGCCACTTTTATGATTCTCTCCATCTTTAACCTTCTGCATTTTAATTATGCAGTGTCTTGGTATAGGCCTATTTAAAGTCATCTTGTTTGGGTTTCTCTGTGCTTTCTGTACTTAGTCTATTTCCTTCACCAAGTTAGAGAGGCTTTCTGTCATTACTTTTTCAAATAGGTTGTAACTTCTTGCTGTCTTCTTCTGGGACCCTCATGAGAATGTTGGCATGCTTGAAGTCTTCTCAGAGGCTCCTCACACTATCCTTATTTTTTTGGATTTTTTTTTTTTCTGTTTGGCTTGAGTGTTTTTTGCCTCCTTTTATTCCAAATTGCTGTTTTGTTCTTGGCTTCACATACCCTGCTGCTAATTCTCTGTAAATTGTCCTTCATTTCAGTTAGTGCATCCTTCATTTCTGATTGGTTATTTTTTTATGGTTTCCATGTCGTTTTTCATGCTATTCAAGTTCTAAGTACGTCTACTCTTCCTCTATGCCCAATTAGCATCCTGTTTTGAACTCTGCATCTAGTAGATTGCTTGTCTCCATTTTCTTTAGTTCTTTTTCTGGAGTTTTATTCTGTTTTTTCATTTGGGACATGATTGTCTCCTAATTTCAGCAACACCACTGTTTGTTTTTATGTATTAGGTAGAGCTGTTGTGTCTTCCGGGCTTGGTAAAGAGGCCCAACGTGTAGGTGCTCCGTAGGGTCCAGTGGCACAGCTTCCCTGTTTACCCAAGCAGCGTACCCTAAGTGTACTCCCTTTCCCCATGTGGGCTGTGTACCGCCTCCTGTTGTTGAGCTTTGACTGTTGTTGATATGTCAACTGGAGGGAATTACCTCAAGGTTGATCGGCTGCAAGGAGTGGCTGTGACCGCTGTGGAGGATCAGCTGTGCAGGGGGCCACCCCATGGAGCAGGACTCTGATGCCTGCTAAGTCCAGCCTTTGAGTGTTACAACTGTGTAGGTGGTTGAGTGGTGCATTGCCTGGACAGGGTCCACAGCTTTCCATAGCATGCACCGGCTGTGGCCTCAGGATGTGCAGGCCAAGGTTGCCTACCACCTGTGTTCTGTCTGGGGCAATCTGGCATGAGCTACAAAAGTGATCTGCAGATAGCTACTACTTAAGCTGGGCTTGGAAGTACTCAGGAGGCCAAGCTGTGGACCATGGCTGGCTGCCACTAGTACCAGAACCGGGCCACTTAGAGGTATGGGAAACACTGAGGACAGATCATGCTCATTTGAAAGATTTTAGGAAAGTCTGAAGCATGAGCCAAGAGAGGCCATTGACATGGAAAAGTCGTTAAAATAACTTGGGTGGGCCTGCAAATTGGTGGGGTGGGTTCAGAATCACCAGGGTGGGGCAAACAGTGATAAGTTGATGGAGACTCAGATAGCGAGCCCACTGTTGGGGGAGGGCTGACCTTCCAGCTCTTGCCCCAATGTGCAGTTGCTCCCCATATACCCCTTGAACCTTTCAAGCTGCTGCCCCAGTGTTGGAACTCAGAGGGAGTGAGTCTGAGTTAGTCCACATGAGGGCCCTTTAATAGGAACTGCTTGGGGCTCCAGATGCCCTTCATCTCACCCAGCCACAATCCGGGCTGTTTTTCACAGCTTAAAGTCATGGGGACTACTCTTCCTGTCACCAGAACCCTAGGCTGGGAAGCCTGGTATGGGGCTCTCATATCTCACTCTCAGGTGGCATCTCTGCAGCTGAGATATTTCTTTCAATTATTATCTGCCACACGTGGGTCTGGGACTAGTCTGTTCCAGTCTCCACCCCTACCAGTCTTGTGGCTTTTCTATGTCCTTTGTTGTAGGACTAAGTTTCAGGTGGCTGTGAATTATGGATGTTCTATAGCTTAGTCATATTTTTGAAGTGGTTGTGGAAGGAGGCAAGTACCATGTTATCTAAGCCACCATCTTGACCAGAATGAATAGGTGTGATCTGGGGCTCCTCTGGGGCAGTGAGTGCAGTCCCAGATTTGTCTGGAATCCTGGGTGCAGACTTCCCCACTGCAGCTGTGAAGATTTATGCTAATTTACAAAAATATTTTGTTTTTTTACAAGATGAAAATGTAAAAAAAATTTTGTTTTTTTACAAGATGAAAATGTAAAATTTCTAGGATATACAATTTACTATTATGTAACTTGATTTATGTTTGTGCTAGGATTTAAGAAGTAAGAAGTTCACCAGCAGCCTCAGAGTTTTCATATGAACTTTTAGGGTACTAAAAATGTAGGATTGGTTTTCCTACCATCTAAGCAAGTCCCTGAAACAAAACAAGATCTTGCTGAGGATAATAAATGAGTGAGGGAGGTAGTAGGTGGGCACTCTCAGCCCTCTAGAGCTTTACCAGTCAACATGCATTAGTCTAACAAAGTGGGCTAAACCACACAATAATGCAAAGGGTCACAATTTTTGCCACACAGTTCTTACATGGACGCAAGTTATGGTATCAGACTGTGCGGTGTTAAGAGTTGTACTATTACCAGTTCTGTACCATTTAATCAAAAAATGGACTCACCATGAAGTCTTTTATCATTCTTGGCAAAAAAGAAAAATCTAGTTGTCTCTTTCTCAGGTAATGATACCTCTCTGGAAAGAGAGAGATTGGTGGTTAATTTCTGTATTTGAGAAGACATGTGTACATTGAAAATATATATGAACTATTCCTTAAGTATGCTCTGTGTTTTGCTTATTTTGCTGAATTAAAGTAACCCCATGCTGTCTATTCTACATTCTTCTCTTTTAACTGAAGCTTTGGTGATAAAGACTTGTTTAAATACAAGCTCTATCTTCCCCACGCTGGTTGCTGATAGTCTCACTTCTACTATTGCCATCCTGTTTGCCAATGTTTGCCATGGGCTGTTAGCTGTAGAATTCTCTTTTCAGAACAGTGTCACGCTCCCTTTCCTGTGCACATCGTATCTTCCACCCAGTGCTACCCAAATCTCAAGAAAAGGAAATATGTTCCCCACTACAAAAAGGCTACAGAACTCTCTAAAGAATCTAAGAGAAGACAATTAAGTTGTCTTGAAAGGTAAGTTTAGGTACTTCTAGAATATTTCTAAAGCATGTCTAACTCAGATTTTACAAAGTATAGGGTGTACCTGTACAGTAACAATTTGCTTACCCAGAGCTCGGGTTTTTGTCATTTGTTTCTTCAGTAACATCTTCTTCTTCTGAACTGCTGTCTTGGAAATAAGGGGCTTCCTGCCAGGAATTCTGCCCAGGTTTCACTGTCTCAATTCTATAGGTCTCTATATTGTCATTACAATAAAAAATGTCAGGATTGTAACTAATAACCAAGTATTGCTGAACATACTCATTTGATCACTTTCACCATGTTACCGTATCTTTGCATGGACAGTATCTTAATCATTAATTAAAAATAAGTAGTATCTTTTAAAATTTTCAAATACTAATTGAGAGAAGTTACTATCATATTTTTTTGGCATTGGTAGGGTTTCTGATAAGGAATACAATAATATTATAAAAAGATATAGAAAACGAAGGTTTATAAGTGGGCAACATAGTTTAAAAAAACAAAATAAGTGCAGTACCTGTGATAGCATGAGAAGTTAAATATTGTGTTAAAAACCAGATTTCCCTCCTGCTTTTGCATAAATGAGAAAAGGTATATAATGTTTATATTTTCCATTTCCAAAAGCTTTCTAAAACTGCTGAAAAAGGGTACTGTTAAAAGATGTGGACAGTCACCTCACGAGTCCCCAAAATTTCCCAAGTACTTAAAGCACATCTTCCAGGTTGCTGAGGTGTCTTAATACTCATTTCAAGACTAATTCCTCACACCTGACTCTCAAATTTAGAATTATAGTCCATATCCGTATTACGCCAACTCTGTTCAATAGTTTAGTACTTAACCTTGGTACTTAAAAAGAAAACAATCAGGGAAGTGAATGAGATAAGCAGAGCACATCCTATATTGTGTCTTATTTAGAACAGTATTTGAAAAACTACTAGACTGTTGTACCCCTGTTGGAGTACCACAGGGCTGGCATTTAATACTTAACAGCTAAATACATGGATGCTATTCTAACTGCTGATCTTTCAAGTAGAAACTACTGTAGTTAGGTGTATAGTTTTCACACTGAAGTTCCAGAAATGCTGCACTTCCATTCTGAACACTAGGTGAAGAGTAGCCCCCTAAGAACAGGCATCTTCAACTTTTGTACAATGTTGGCCTTCAGAGGTAAACCTTCCAAAATGTAACGCAAAACTGTACGTACTGGTTTTGATACTTTTCTCTAAGTTCTGTCAACTCTTCAAGGATGAAATCTGAAACAACTGACATACTAATGAAATAGCATATTTGCACAGAGCCAAGGTTACCCATTTCTTCTTTTCCCTTACCATATACTTGTAGTTGTGGCTTTCCCTAAGTCATGGCTTCTTCACATGCATTTAAGATATGAAGGCATTTAAATATATGACTTACTATACTTGTTTATGATTATTTTCTACTCAATAGAAGACATGCTGTGCATTACTTTCTAGCTTCCTTTCATATGGCTAAAAGTTTGCTCCCTTAAATCAGAAACGATGTTTTGTTGTGTTAAACACAGCTCCAGGAACATTACATTTACAGTTGTATGATATTGAACCTCATGTTTATCTAGGTGCAAGAAAGAATCCTTTCTTCAGCTACTCTTAAATAATTACACTTACTGTAGACACAGTCAATTAAGTTTAAACAGCCTAGAATGAAATAGTTTAAAAAAATTAAGGTACCTTCCTTTACATCTTTAGTGTCTGAATCAAAAAAGGAAAATGTGAACCCGCTGGGATGCTTGGCCCCAGTCTTCAAAGCTGCAGGATCATGGAATTCCTTGGCCTTCTCCCCATCACAGTCTTCATTCCAGGGTACGTCTTCCTTTTCATTGGTATCTTTTGTAGTTTGGAATATTTCTTTTAAATCCATAGCAATGTTATAATACATTTCTTTAGACACCACAGGTAGCCTCTCAGCTTCCTCTCTTTTCTTCTTACGCTTTGCTTTACTACATTGACATAGACATGTACGTCAAAATTAAAGTCAATTTTTGGACAATTTCCAAAAATCAAGATAGGAAAATAGCATGGCTAACTTAAATTCCACCCTTTCAAAATCCAGCAGGATCCACATACATAAAACTCTACTGATAAAAGCAGAATCTTACCAATAAGCTTTTATATATAATAACTATCTCAAACAGCTCCAGTAAATATGAGTCATTCTCTATCTCTTACCCCCTGAACCTCAATTCAGATATTACACCTAAGACATTAGCTTTGAGAGTGAAAAAACTCACTTAACCACAATGCCCCTCAATTTCCTCACCTGCAAAATGAACATGTTAAATCAATCTAAGACCTTTCCAAGTTCTAAAATTCTGATGATTTTACAAAACTGGCAGAAAAGGTTTTAGTTATAATTCTGTTTTAGAAATGAATTATAAATATGCTAAGTCTAGTTTGTTTTGGAATGAAATTTTTATATTACCATAAACCTGCTCTATATTTAGGAATATGTTTTTCCTCTTTGATCTTTGATAAAGAGTTACATGGCAGTTTCCAATATCAAGTTTTTAGTTATTAAAAGATTCAAATCCTTTTTCCTATTAGAGTTGAGTCCAGGCATCAGGCCAGAATTTTAACTGTATTACCTACAACAGCAAGTGAATAAGATGTCTTAAATGTTCATCTTATTGGTGGAGACTATCTCGCAGTGAGAAATTTTTAATACTTCCAACCTAGCTATGATTAAGATACCTATGCCTCCTATGAAAGCAAACTCTACAAAAAGTGGTGCCCCTTAGACAGTCCCAAGTGATTACCACTGAGCCATAATGTAGTGGTTTTAAAGTGGTCCAGAGATCCTTTGATAGTTCCTCCTCTGAGAGGTGAGATGAATTCCCCCATTCCTTGAGGGTGGGCTGGATTCGACCTCTTTAACCAATAGAATTGATGGTGTGTAACTACTGACACTACTGTCATGGAACGCAGTTTGGTTTTCTTAATGCTCTCTCCCTTTTCTGGATCACAGGCTTTGGGGGAAGCAGCTGCCATGTTGTGAAAGTACTCAAATAACCACGTGGAGAGGCCAAAGAGGCAAGGAACTGAGTCTTACTTAAGCTAATGGCCCTGTGTTGATCCATCTTGCAAACAGATCTCAAACCTTCAGATACTATAGCCCTAATTTACATCTTGACTGCAGCCTTTTGAGAGCCCCTGAACTAGAACTACCTAGAAGCACTCTCCAATTCCTGACCTAGAGAAGCTGGAACTTAAAAAATGTTTCAGGTTTCAAGCCGTTATATTTTGTGGCAATTTTTTATACATAATTTATACAGATCTGAGGATCCAGAAGTGGAGTGCTGCTGTAACATAAACCTAAAATACAGGAGTGGCTTCTGAGCCCAAGGAATAGGGAAAAATTGGTAGGTCAGGGAGGTGTTAGCAAAAGTGTGAAGAGCCTTAAAGAAACTGTTAGTAGGAACTACATGGCCACTGAGGAGGCTGTAAGGAGAGGGCTTATAGAAAAGTGAGGTGATGCTATGCAAAATGGAGGAAAGGGGACCCCTGCTAACAACAGGGCACTTTCTGTACCAACAGAAAGTTTAGCCACACTGTCACCTTAACTAAAGTGGAAATTAGAAAATGTACCTAATCAATAGGTGATCTAGCTAAAGAAATGTCCAGGAAGGTGATGAAGGTATTTGCTGTTTTTTTCTTGCTGCTTACCATAAAACGTCAGCAGAAGCAGTAACATCAGAGGAAAAAATTTGTAAGGAGTCAGAATCTCATGGATTATAAGGCTTCTAATCTCCAGAAGACAAATGACATAAAATTTTATTAATGAGTTCTAAGCAAAGATCAAATCTTACATTCAGAAAAAATGATCTAAAGCAGATGCTGGCACACTATAGCAAATGGGCCAAATCCAGGGTGCTACATATTTATGTATGTACAAGTTAAGAATATTTTTATTGTTTAAATGGTTGGGGGAAAAAAAAGTAATAGATGATTTTGTTACATTCACAAGTCACTTTATGTAACATAAATGACAGTGTCCTACTCATAGTTTTTTTGGAACACAGGCTCCCTCATTTGCTACAAAGGCTGAGTGGAGTCATTGGCCTGCAAAGCCAGACGCATTAACTATTTGACCCTTTGCAGAAAATTTGTACTCTCCAGTCTACATGTAAAACAAAATCCTTTGTTAAGACACTACACATAGGTCAGAAACAATTGTTCAAATAATACGGCTTATAATGAGTTTAAAGATGGTGTTTCTCAGCAGAAGCCCACAGTTAAGAAAGGATGATCTCAAAATGATTACTGATGTGGCTTTAACAGAATAAACACCAAAATATTCACAGAAGAATCACAAATATTTTAGGGGGATTATGTCAACATTAAGAGAAATACCCCTAGCTTGGACTGATAAATACAAACACATTCCACAATGAACAAACTTCTGAACTCCCACATTCCTAAAAACACAAAGCTGGATAAGACAATCACTGAGCTACAAACAAATGTGTTAAAAAAATCAAGGATGACCTAAAAGGCAGAGTTAAGAACTATAAGAACATAAAGAATTATTCTCAGGCCCTCAGGTCTAATAAAAGATCTCACAACATTTGGTTACTTAGATTTATTTTAGAGCTCCTATAAACTAGTGACTTCTTCATGTCTTCTCTTGTATTCTACTGTTGGTCAGTAGTGCTTACATTGGTTAGCCATGCTTGTACCACCACCACACATTCACAGGTCTTCTGATTGAAAAGGCTGCACTGGCCCTGACTGGTGTGGCTCAGTGGACTGAGTGCCAGCCTGCAAACCAAAAGATCACTGGTTGATTCCCAGTCTGGGTGGTGGGCTAGGTCCCCAGTTGGGGGTGTATGAGAAACAACTGATCGATGTTTCTCTCCCTTCCTTCCTCTCTCTCCCAAAGTAAATAAATAAAATCATAAAAAAAAAAAGAAAAAGAAAAAAAAGGCTGCACTTAAAGTTCTATACTCAAAGAACAACAAGAGATAAGATTCATCTATACCTTGATCTGATTTGGATGACAACATCCTGGATTCTGAACTAATGCTGCAAAGAGCTGAGAAAAAAAGACTTCCGGGGAAGTCTTAGGAAGGAGGGAGAATTATATATGTGATAGGAATGTAAACAATTTATGGCCAGAGGGTGGATGTTGTAGTTTTAAATAAATGTTTGTGGTTTTAAGGTGCTAAGTTTTGGATAATTTGTTATGCAGCAGTAACAAATACACCCTAGATGTAAATAAAACTAATACATTACACAAACATTTCCCACTTGTACCAATGTAGATTATCATAAATAGCATACACAAATTTTATATTGCAGGGAATATTTATGCTAGTTCTTCTTTGGTCTGATATGTGAACCTTTTTAAAAGAAACCTTTAATATAAGATTTACAGAAATGTTACCAAAAAAGTACAGCATTCCTAAATAACTGTCACCTAGTTTCTTGTCATGGGAGAATCTTATTAAACTATGATACAATTCTCAAAACTGTAAGATTAACATTGTTACATTATTATCAACTAAACTCAAACTTTATTTTCATTTTACCAGTTTCTCCACAAATGTCTTTTTTGTTCCAGGATCTAATTCAGGATACCACATGTCTTTAGTGACTGTAACAGTAGAAAAATGAAGGAATCATTCCAGGTCAAGTTACTGTTGGCTTCATATATCTGGCATATTTGTCAAACTGACAGCTTATCTATAAGAAATGGAAGCTCCTACCACAGTAGAGCAGTGGATTGAATGGGTGCTCCCAAAAGATACATATCCTGGCTCAAATTCCTGGAACCTGTAAATGTTACCTTATTTGGAAAAAGGGTCTTTATAGAGTACTTAAGGACCTTGCAACAAAGAGATTACCCAGGATTATCCAGGTAGGCCCTAAATGCAATCACAAGAGTTCTTGCAGTAGACACAAAGATGACATACACTCAGAAAAGAGGAGGTCATGGAGACAAAGATCAAAGTAATGTAGCCAACAAGCCAAGGAATACCAAGAATTGCTCGCAGCCACAAGAAGCTAAGAGAGAGATGTGAAATGAATTTTTACCCTGAATTTCCAAAAGGAAAGGAGGCCTTCCAATAGATTTCAGACTCCTAGCCTCCTGAACTGCAGAAAAATACTTTTTTGTGATCTTAAGCTACCAAGTTTGTGGTAACCTGTTACAGCAGCTATGAGAAACTAACATAAGTAGGAGGCACCATACCAGAGTGGGAGCACTTACTATCATTTACACACATGAGATTCCTTTGTCAAAGGTATGGCTCTCTCCACCATATCCATTAATTCCACTCTAACTTTTCTCTCCCCTGTCTTAAACTAAATACAGTGGAAACCAATAGATGGGATGCTGGTTACTATCTACTTTTTTCATTGTCTGAAATAAGATTAATTCATATGATCCTGCTACGAAAAGAAATTTACCTTTCTTTTGGTTTATCATCTATCCTTTTTTCATAAGTGGCATGGTCACGCCTTGTTGGATCATAGTGTATGATGTCCCTATGTTAAAAAAAAAAAGTGATAAATTAGAAGAGATAAATCATAACACTAATACAATAAGTTAATAGCAAATTGTAATTCAACACCAGAGCCATTCCAATTTTTGAGCAAGACAAAGCTACACAATATCAAACGAAATCAATCTCATTAGAAATAATCATATTTGAAATTATCTAGTTTTGAGTTTTCCTGGATCTTTTTGTAAATATTAAAAATTATTTTAAATATACTAAAATATATACAAATAAAATGATATACTATTTGGATCTGCATAAAATATTTCAATGGGGAAAGTAGAAGCAATTGTGTAAAGATACAGAAAAGAAAACTGGTCACATGTTGGTGACTGTAGAAGCTTGTTACATCAGTTACTGCACCTTATATATTTAAAATTTTCTGTAATAAATAGTTATATTTATTAACATTTAAACCACTGTACAACTGTTTCGCTAATGGAAGCAATGTTATCTAAGATCATAAATATAGAAATAAAATTAGTTTCTTGAAATTGAATTATTGGGTCAAAAAGGCAGGTATATTTTTAATGGTCTGAAACACACTGCCGCTTCCGACCTTAGAGGTTTAAAATGGCCTAGTTTTACACTGAGTTCAAAAAAGCATTTATGGCAAAGGAAAATAAGGTGGAATGGGACAGACATAAACCATACTTAAATCTCTTAGCAGCTACTGATCCTTTGCTTGTAGAATTGCTTAAGTTGATTTGCAAAATACTCTGCACAATATTCAGGGCTTTCAACTTTTCTGCAGCAAGCTCTTCTTCCTCAGCGGTTTCCTTTTCATTTACCTCTTAGAGGGAAAAGGACAATTAGTAATATCTTGGCAAATATAACATGAGAAGTCTTAATCATCAAGTCTTTATCAATCACCTAAACACATCAATTAAAATAAAAAGAAGAGAAGTTAAACCTCATTTTGCTAACCTCTCTAACTCCAAGACCCTCAGTGCCAATGTATCCAGAAGCTGCATGACCAGCAAACAAAAAGTTTCATTTTTGTTTGTAATTATAAAAATCGAATCTGGATTTAGAGGCTTTCATTGGCAAGTATAACGGTTTTTAAAATAAAGCCTGACAAATGTATAGAGAAAGATACTAATTACAAAGCTAAAGTTATCCCAAACTGAGTTTATTAACATCCTAAAAATGTAATCTTAATTACATATAAATCTAAAAGTGAAAGATGGTAATTTTACTAATATTGTTAGTAGACAGTTGCTTCAGCCTTTGATGAAGCAATAAATATTGCAGGAAGAGAGCCACAGGTGTATTATACACACAGAGAATCATAAGCTGTTATCCTCAACTACTAGAAAAAGACAAGTATCAGGGAAGAAAGTTAAACAGACAGTTTAGATTACAGAGAGAAGTATAAAAGAAGCCTAAGCCTTAAAGACCCGATTAACTTTTCACAGCATATAAACCAAGAAACTGAATCTAAAACAAAACACTGATTTTGAAAAAGTGCTCTACAAAGATGCCCTGAAAGTATCTGAGGGTTCAAAAGAGGTATTAGTTTATGTTCAAATGAACCAAGAAATGCTTTATAAACCAAGTGGAGTATAATAGGGAGGAAAGACAAAGTGATGGGAGGAGAGCATGGCAGGTATAGGAAAACAAAACAAACACGTATCTAAAAAAGTACAAAAGAGTTTTACACTGCATTAGATTGAACCCTATGAAACTATTAATCTTCAACAACTTTTTAAAACAGATTTTATTTTTAGAGAAGGGAAAGGAGAAAAGAGGGAGAGAAACATCAATGTGTGGCTGTATCCTGTGCAACCCCTACCAGGGACCTGGACTGCAACATAGGCATGTGCCCTGACAGGGAATCGAACCAGTGACCCTTTTGTTCACAGGCTGGCACTCAATCCACTGAGCCACACCAGCTAGGGCTATATTCAACAACTTTTGTCTTTGGAATCGGCAATTCAATTTTAACCTAATAATGACTTCTAGGAAGTAGAACACAAAAGGGCTCAAGGGGTTTGTAGACTGGCTGTGCTTACTTACTTGCAGGGCAGTCTTTGCAATTCACAAAAAATTAAGCCTCTAAAGTAGGGAAGAAACAAACAGAGCGGTTCTATGTCTGAGTGCTTTAAGAATGGCAGCACCATCAACAGAAACAGAAAGGTCCAGAGGACCTGAAAGAAATTCAAGTTGGGACTTAAATTTTAACATGGGCTCAGAACCACCTGTGAGAAATATCCATGAGAAACCAAGAAAAGAATGAATGAAACTCAGCAGAACAGCCAGGATCAAAGATGACCCAAATTTGGAAACTGCCTATGTATGAGAAGGATAAAGCAACAGGAACTTACAGAACACTGGGAAAAGTCCACATTTAGAGGCAAAGGGGAAACTGAGAATGAAGAAAATGAGAAAACCAGGAAGATATGGTATAATGGAAACAAAGGGAAGAGAACATTTTAAGAAGGGATGGCAATCAGTCACAAATGCTATAGCCAGGCTGAAGATGGTGAAACTGGAGAAAATGCCACTACATTTGGTGAATTAGTTATTCTCAACTTTGAGGGAACTCATACCAGAAGAGCTGTGATGAGACAGACCAAAGAGGCAGAAGTTAAGAAAGTAACCACTATATGCAGCTTCTAAACATAGGCTATTCCCAAGTTTCTCTCCATTCCTATTTTCAACATGGGATTTTGAGTGAGAAGCTCTGAATTATAAGTTGGTGTGGGCCCTGGAGAATTTACTCTTTGAACTCTGGTTTCTGGAAACGCACAATACACATAATAATCACCTTAAAGAGTTGAATCATCAAATCAGAGGCTGTATTTACAATAAAGTCACCTGGTTCTGAATTAGATGTAATTTATTATTTCAAGTTTAGAACTAAAAAAAAAAAAGATGGGAGTGGCAACTCGAAAATTGGCAGGGTTGAAGGAATTGTCTTCTGGATCTATGACACATTTCTTTGCAGAAATAGGCTAGGAGCTAGAAGAAAGCAAAAGGATAAAGCAGCATGTGAGAAAGCAGGTAAGAGGATGTATGAATGGGGGGATTAAGATGCAGGTTAAATTAACTCAACAAGGAAAGAAAAAGAGATGGTATAAGGGAACAAGTTCTGGGACTGCAGAAGTAAGCAGGGAGCTCACTTCAGGATAAGAGAAAGTTTAGAAAGGCTGCTATGAAAAACGCAAAAGGAAGTCAGAAAGAGTAGAACTGGGATGCTTCTGCTATCATCATTACTGTTATATACATCCAAATAAGGATGAATTCAAGTAGAATGGCATTCAATAGTATATTTCTTTTTAGAAAACCGGACACCAGGATACACAAAGAAGGGAAGATGAATACTCTTTTTTAGGAAGTCCAGTATGACTTACCTGTGTTCCATGCCCTCACCTGGACCTCCTCATCTACTATCAGATAGGGACCTCACCTTTTCTCTTATGCCAGAGATGAGACAGAGGAAGATGATGCTTCTGGTGGATGCTATCTATCTATTTATTCCTGTTTTCTGGCTGCTTCAAATACTTTTAAATTTTGTAAGTAACTTAATATGCACAAATGAACTCGAGCATTGAGTAAGCTAAGCATGGCATTATAAGCTTCACAATTCAGTATCTTGGGGTAAAGAGTTTCTCCACATGTTAAGCAAAAGCTAGACTGGATGACTTCTTAGGGTGTGCCAAATCTGGCATCAGCACTGTTTGGACAATGAAGCATTTACCTTCCTGTTCTTCTTCACTGTCACTTTCTAGAAATCGGGAGTCCATGCGAAATCTGTCATCAATGCCAAAGTGAGACTGCAAATCCATGAGCTACAAAAACAAAACAGACACACAATTGATAGCCATATTCTCAAGAAATTACTTCTAAAGAAGACCTGCAAAGTCCCACTCTACACCCTGAAATTCCAGTTAATGTCTGTATAACCTTACCCACCCATGAAGCAGTCAGAACAAGTAGTTGAAGATATACTCCCAAAATAAATTTTTAAACACAGGAGTGCAGGTCAAGGTCGTCCTGAATTTACCTAGATTTAAGGACTATGTTGAAAAATAAGGACATGTAGCAAGTTCTATCATTTTCAGACTTTACTAACCTTCTTTCCAGCTCTACCCTCAAACTGAGGTTTAATTCTGAACCTATTACTGTCATCTTCAGAATCAGATTCCTTCTCATCACAGCCAAACAGCTTCCCAGATGCTCTACTCAAGAACTCCTGTTATGCAGATGAAGACAGAAACATTTATTAAAAACTGAGGCAATCAGTGTTTTATTATGTAATTTTGCCCCTCACATTTAAGAACCAACAACCCAGATGCATCTCCCAGGTAAGGGCGAATGGTGGTTAGAATGGAAACTTCTGACTCGGTGATACCTACTTGGACTTTCAGTACAGCCTGAATGGGGTGTGAAGGAAAGGAGGAGAGTTATTATATATGTGAGAAGAGTTTCAACAGGATTTCACTAATATTGATGTCAATGTGTAGATGATGGGAAGGCAAAGCTCATGTGGGAGTAAATCTCCAAGGTCCTCGTAGTTTCTGTGTGTGGTGGACTGAAAAGCCCTGGGTTTCACTGTGGCTCCCAGAGGATTTTATACTGAGCCTGGCAGTTGTGTAGAGGTCTTGGTATGCAAGTAACAAAAATAGATCTGCAGATATAGTGGAGTACCCACACAAGATACCCTGAACTTCTTACTTTTACTGGTTTCTCCACCAGATGGCTCAGCTCCGGAGTGTACATCTCCTCTGTCTCACTTTCACTGCCAGAACCAAAGATGATGTGTGTTGGTTTGTCCTCTGGATGACCATCCTAGAACCATCATCAAAGGCATCACATCTTAAGACAAACCCTCTTCTCCCTTCCCTCCCTTGTCCACTTCCCATCCTTTTTTTTTTTTTTAATCTAGTGAATGCCATTATCCACTTATTCTCCCAAGATAGTAACCTGTAAGTTCTCTTCCTCTCCATATCCAGTTGATCACCAAATCCCACCAAGTGGACCTTCTTGGTATCTTTTAACTCTATTCCCACTGTTACTGCCTTGGTTCACAACCTCCCAAAGGCTGTCCCTGTTTCCAGATTTGCCCCATTCAATCTGTTGTTCATCATGGCCTAAAAGTTCTTTCCCAACAGAGTTTAGCAAACTTTTTCCGTAAAGGGCCAGAGAGTATATATTTTAGGCTTTATGGTCTCAGTACTGTAATTACTTTTAAAAAATCCTTTAAAAATGTAAAAATCTTTCTTAGCTTCAAGGCTGTGCCAACACAGACTGTGGGCTGCATGGCCTGTGAGCTGTAATATATCAATTCCTGTTCGAATATATATACAACTAATCTTCATTCCTTTGCTTAAAGTTCTTTACTTTTTCCATAGCCTTCAGAATAAAGTCCAATGTCTGTAGCCTCTTCACAACCCCTATTTATTTCTCTAGACTCATTTCTTCCATCTCATACTCTATACATTTCAGCCATACTGACTGCAAACATTCCTGTATATATAAGTTGCTCCCTCTTCAGAAATACTTTCTTCTCCCTTCCTACCCTCTTACCTCTGCCTAACTAGTTTATACTGATTTTATCATTAGACTCAGTTCAGGCTGAGGAAACTCCCGACTCCCATCCTCCGGACCAACATGGTGTCTCCAAAGCACAACCAGAGCACATAGGCATACTTCTCTTTTCGCCTGTCGAATTCAACTGCCACCTTCTGCCAATGACCACCTGAAACAGGGACCATGATTCTCGAACTCACTCTATAAATTTATAACTTACAGTGAAGGCCTAGAACTTCATAGGTACTTAAAACTTGTTGATAGAATAAAGGCTCATTATGGTAAATCTTGGCAAGATATAAATTACTTGGGAAGTGATTTAAATGTAAATTCAGACATATTAGAATACATTACTTAGCTATACTAGTCCTAGTTTCTAAAGGAACGTGAACCAGAAAAAAAACAAATTAAAAATGTTTTCCTAACAGTTTAATCTCGCTTCTGCCAGGATACGCTAAAAATATGTGGTAATAAAACGTTTCTAACTCAAGGACACAAAACATGAAACTGGTAGGTGCTAAGATACTGACCTCTAAAGGGGCATGCCTACCTTCATGGAAAGAAAAGGATACAGGAGAAGCAAGCTGGCGGAGGAGTGAGTGACGTCACACTGACCTCCTCCCAGGACTAACCTAGAATTACAACTAAATTGTGGAGAAATCACCTGGAACAAACAACTGAACAATAGCAAGAGAGGAGCCTAATAACCTTGGACAGACAAAAGAATCAGCTTTAACACAATCTAACTGGTAAGGAATGTGGTAGAGACTCGAGAAGGCAGGCGGGCAGCCCCCATGGGCGGGAGCACCAGACAGGTATTGAAACGACCCGTTGGTTCCCCCTGAGAAGACTGGGGTCTAAACCATAAGCAGGGATCTCCAATCTACAGCACCAGAGCTGAAAAGTACATAGAAAACAGCCAGCTGTGAAAAGTGGCAGGGTTGCTCTCTGCCAGACACAGGCAGCTGGAGATGCAAAGAGCCTTTTAAAGGGCTACTGAATACATTTTTATTTCCAGCCACCTACCCTGGGCTTAGGCAAAGGCGAGGGCAGAGTGGGTTAGAGACACACTTGAGGAGAGACTGGGGAGGGAGGTTTGGAGGAGAGAACTCAGAGAGTAGGTGGTGGGATCCCGGTGCTGACTCCTCCCCTATACGGCAGCAGCCAGCTTGCTCAGGCAGAGCACTCCCCTGAGCAACAGCAGCCTGAGAGTACAAAATAACCTCACCTCCCAAGAGGGACTCTGCCCCGCCCTATGGTATCCAAGCTTGACTGCTGAGTGCAGAGTGACTAGATTAACAGCTGAAGGAGACAGCCACAGACAGTAGGTTCCTGAAAGTCTCTAAGAGACAGCCTAAGGTCAGACATGGTCAACAGCTGACATCATCTGAGGCAGCTCCAGCAAGAAAAAAACAGTGGTCTCCTACCACAGAAGTTCACACGACAAAGTCAGGAAATCAAGACAGATCAATTTAAGAACTAGAAGCAAAAGAGAAGAGCCTCACAAATAATGGGAAGACAAAGAAACAGTCCCCAGTTGAAAGGAAAAGAGGAATCCCCAGAAAGAGAACTAAATGAAATAGAGGCAAGTAAATTATAGATATTGAGTTCAAAACAACGGTTCTAAGGAAGCTTAATGAGTTCAATAAGCTCAGAGAGAATTACAAAAAACTACAGGGAAAACTACGAGGCACTTACTGCAAACTATATCAGCATGACAGAAGACATAGAACTATCAAGAAGAGACAAGAGGAAATGAAGAATACAATTTCTGGGTTGAAGAACACAGCAGAAGGGATCAAAAGCAGGCTAGATGAAGCAGAGGAACGAATCAGCAAGCTGGAGGATAAGGTAGAAAAAAACTTCCAGAAAGAGCAAGAAAATGAAAAAAGACTCAAAAAGAATGAAGAGGTATTGAGGGAAATGCAGGACAACCTGAAATGTAATAATATCTGTATAAAAGGGATACCACAAGGAGAAGAGGAGCAAGGGATACAGAACCTGTTTGAAAAAGTAATGATGGAAAACTTCCCTAATAGGAGGAGAGAAAAAGTCACACAAGTCCAGGAAGCACAGAGGGTCCCATGAAAGAGGATCCCATGAAAGAGGATCCAAATGAGGCCCAGTCCAAGACACGTCATCATTAAAATGGCAAATATCAAAGACAAACAGAGAATGCTAATGGAAGCAAGGGAGAAACAGGTAGTAACATTCAAGGGAGCCCTGGTATGACTATCTGCTGACTTCTCAACAGAAACACTACAAGCCAGAAGGAAGTGGCAAGAAATATTCCAAGTCATGAAAAACAAAGGCCTGCAACCAAGACTGCTCTACCCAGCAAGACTCTTAATTAAAATGTAAGGCAAAATTAGGGGTTTCCTTGACAAAAGAAAGCTAAAAGAAGACATCTCCTCCTAACCAGCATTGCAAAATATGCTATAAGGACTGCTTTAAGAAGATGAAGAAAAAGAGTCTATCAATACCCAGTTCCTTTCACTGTCACCAATACTTGGTATTACCAATATTTTTAATACTTATTAACTGATTGTGACGATAATGTGTTATTTTGGTACTTTATTATTTTGTTGAAACTAAATCTGTTTCTGTATACTTCTTGCCTATTTCTATTATTTTTAAAAAGCTTTAAATGACTTTTTGGTATTCTTTATACATTTTTTGATTAGAGTTTATAGAATTTTTTTCCCCTAAAAAAAAAAGTATTAACCCTTTTTTAGATGTGTTGCAATATTTTTTAAATTCTATTACTTGTCCTAAAACTTTTTTATATGTATATTACTATATAGTCTTAAATGTTTAATATAGTCATATTGTCAATATTTTCCTTTATACCTTCGGGTTTGAATTTTTTATGTCAGGGTAAGAAAAATATTAGTTTGTATTTTCTCCTAAAACTCCTGAGATATGACATATTGATTTTTAACTCACTTGAATATTTGTTGTATAATATGCAAAATAAGGCTCTATATTTGTTTTATTTCAAGTAATAGTGGTCCATGCACCTTATTCTTGAATAAGCCTATTTCCCCCAGTGATTTGTAATATCAATTTAATTGTATATTATATTGTTAGATATATACATTTGTTTCTAGAATGCTCATTTTATTTCATTGATCTACTTGATTATTTCTGTGCAGGTGTCATGTTTTAATTGCTAAGACTTTATAATAGATTTAAATTTTTTAATATTTTATAATGGATCTTGATATTTAAAAAAATAAATAAAATCAATTGGCATTTTTAAAAAGAAAGAATCTTTTGTGACATGATGGATGGAACTGGAGAATATTATGCTAAGTGAAATAAGACAGTCGGTGAAAGACAAACACCATATGATCTCACCTATAAGTGGAATCTATTCCACAAAATAAACTAATGAACAAAATAAACCACGGGCATGGAAACATGGAGCAGACTGAAAGTGACCAGAGGGGATGGGGAAGGAGGACAATGGTGGAAAGGAGGAGAAGGGACTAAACAAAGAATGTATGAATCTTGATACAGAGATTCATACCCATGGACATGAACAACAGAGTGGGAATTGACTGTGGGAGAGGGGGACGGGGTGGGATGGGTGGAGGAGGGCAAAGGGAAAAATTGTGTCAGCTGTAATAGAATAAACATGATTTAAAAATAAGATTTAAATTTTTTAAAAATGGATACAATTTTAGAGGTCTTGTTAAACCAGAAATTGAAAATACACTCACCAAATTTGCCAGGGCATTATGAATCAGTTTCTTTTGTACTTCTTTGGCCTTCTGCCTAGCCTCTAAGGCAGCCAAACGCTTCTGATTATCTTCAGCTTGCTTGTCCTTAGCATTAGCATCTGATGAGCTAACAGGAAGTTGGAAGTCAGTTTCACTTCCCTGAGTATCCATCCTGGAGGAGACCTCTAGGGACTTCTCAGGGACTATGTGGCTGCTCAGGTCAGGCATCTTTTCAGAGCCCTCTCCTGTCTTTGTGGACCTATGGCAACAGTCTTCATCAAAGCCTATTTTGGGAGTCTCTGCATCAAGAATTATAGATTTCTTATCTTTTAATATTAACAGATTAGACATAGGAATTCTACGCCCTTTTTCTGCAGTGCTAGAGGACACCACTTTGTAATTCTGACTCGTAAAAGTGAACTGTCTCTGAGGCTGAATATGGTTTGGGTCATCTGCTTTCTCTGCACATGGAAAAGGAGTGAGTTTGCTTGATGGGCCATTAGCATATGGGAAGCCCTTTTCCATGGACAAGTTAGGAGGGTCCTCAAGTTTCACGGAATTCTGATTTTTATTAATATTGCCAGATTTTTTCACCAATTCCTTCCCATAGAGACAACCTACTCCCTTGAATGCCTGGAATTTTAGCTTTAAGTTGTTTTCCTTCGGTTTCTGTTTTCTAGGAGTGTTCTCTTCTCCTTCTAAAAGGGAAGCCACAATCTCTTCAGGATAAATACATTGTCGACCTCCTCTGTGGAGGCTATCAGAAATCCTGTGGCTCTTGGAGGTGGTTTCCCAGCCATTGCTCTTATCTTCTTTTGGAGCCTTCAAGTCACAGCCAGCTAACTGTTCCAAATTAGCTAAAGTAAGAGTCACATGGAGAGAATTTTTCACCATGGCATTATACTCATCTTCCTGGGACTTGGCTAATTCTGACACAGAATCAGCATCCTCACTGCTAATGGACTTGGACAGAGATTTACAACTAAGATGCTTTATTCTGTCACTGATGGCTAGTTTTACGTTGTGTTTTTTTTGTACTTTAATACAATGATCAGAAAGCTCACAGTTTTTTCTATTTTTCGAAGTTTTCTTGTACAGAGGCTTTTCCATTTGTGAAAATTCTGTACTATTTTTGATCTTATCAACATTTTTTTCCATTGCAAGATCATCTGTATCTCCTGAATCATAGTCACAATTATTACCCACAAGATTTTCTTCATTATCGAGGCAAGAGACATTATTTTTGTTGCCTAAACCTGTTAAAGAACTAAGTTTGTGAACATCTGATTTGAAATCATTCCTTACAACTTCAAAGGGATCATTTTCAGATTCACTTATTGAGGACCATGTAGTGCTCCCTAAGTTTTCCTCTCTTGCAATCATTAGTCTTAATCCATCTTCAGAATCGATATCATCATCATACATGCTATTTTTGTTTCTTTTAATTTTTTGACTATCAGAATCAGGTACATGGAATGATTTAGGAGTAGTAGGATCATTATGTATTTTCTGAGCAGCCTGTTGCAGTGTTAAGTGTGGATTCTTCATTTTTACTTTGTGGTGTCTTGATCTCATAGCCAGAGATTCAGTAGGGCTCTCATCCTTCTGCACTTTTATTATTTTGTTGGGAGGGCAGTGAAAGTCAGAAAATTTCCCTTGCCGTTTCTTACTCATAGGACCGTTCCCTCCTTCCAACTCCCAAGTGAGACTGGATATAGGAATGGCATTTGTGAAGTCTTCTCCTATTTTTTTTAAGTTGTGGCAGTATTTTGAAGGATCATACTTTATAATGTTTTCAACAGTCAAGGAACAAAACAGAGGCCCTAGGTTTTATGAAAACCTGTCAGTCTGGTGAAACAAAAGGAATACTTTTTAATTTTACCCTCAGTTTCCTACCCAATAAAATGAGGACTTCATTAGGTGACCTCAGGTTCTCTGGAACTGAGCATTTTATCTAGAGTTCAAAACAAAGTATCATCACTAATAACTGGAAGAAATTATGTGGGAGATAAAATGAAGCACCATTACTATTAATTAGCAGAATATCTACTTGAATGTAGACATTACAGCAAACTAATTCAGATTATATTCTAGATACAGAGACCCAAAAACTGTTTTTTGTAAATCTGAGAAATCCACCCACTGAACTATTGCCATAAAGCAGACTGTAGAGAGCACCCAAAGGGGCACAGCTAGACACTGCACGCCCTTGGGTCTTAAATTTTGGGGGGCATTCCTGCCTTCTCCATACTGGTTTATCCTAGCTTTGATTTTCCTAGCTCAGTAACATCAATTTTACATCTACTCACTCTCTGCGGGGTGTTCTAAAGGTCTTTATTAGAAAGGTAGTAACTCTTTGCCAGGGCGTGTTTTGTTGCTACTATTATCCAGAAAGAGTCTAGTTAATGTCAATGTGCTGTTACAGTTGACATACTATGTCATGACAGCTGACATTTGTTGATTTCCTAAAACATATGAATAGGCAATAGTAAGTTGCTTTAAGTTATCACTTCTAAAAAGTGTCCACGGTTTCTCAGCTTCACACTTCCCTTCAAAATCCTCCTCTTTGCTCTTAGTGCCTGCCATTGGTAGGAAGCCAGAAGGTAAAAAGAAAAGAGTCACTGTTTTCCTGATTTTTGTGCCACAGGCAGGGAAGACAACAGCAGCAGCTATGGCCCAGGCTTCAGTGACCTCAGTGGCACAGTAGCTATAAGCAATGAGAACACACCTTTCTGCTTCTCTAACTCCAGAAAGTAGCTATTGGCTTGGGTTATTAATCTCTGGGCAGCCTGATACTCAGCTTCTAGCTCCTCCAGATTTTTAAACACACAGAGTATATTACGTCCTCTCTGTTTGAAGTACCTGGAACTGCTTCTGGTTCCCTGATACATGCTATAAGAGCTAAAGAATACACAAGTTACACCTTCTGACCAGGAGTTCATGACATTAGGAATTCGAGGTCTTAGACAATCTGACTGTATTACCTCAAGGGAACAGGCATCTGAATTTGCTCTTTCTGGGTTCCACACTATTTCTCCACCCACCATTCTCATGCTTGTCTACATATTTTAATCTACTATTTTCCTCTCTCCTGGACTCCTTCTTATTACTTTTCTAGTAATGTGAAACCTCCTCCACGTCCTCCAAAGCTTTCTTTTAACAATAACCCCATGTTCCTTTGCCCTACCTCTTTCAGCAATGGCTTTGAATCCATGTCAAATGAGAGGAAGGGTCTATAAACTAGTAAATGCAAAGACGTCTTTGACAATCATCATTTGTATCATTTGTATAAAACTCATTGCATTCTCTAATTATTCTATTAATTGTTCCATTCTTATAGGTAGTAAGGTCTTACCTTAGGTAGATGTTGGGAACATAAAACCATTAAATAAACACTTAAAGATTTCCTGACAGAGGCAGCAAAATTCTAAAGGCAGGATGTAAACTTTCGTAGTTAGCCAAAACTGTGCTAAATAATTACTCTGAAAACCCACTTGCAAAGGATATTTTATGTTTGCGTTGATTCTTTAGATGAAGAATAGGTAAGACTCTTCCAAATTTACTCACAACCCAGTTCTAAAAAAAAAAAAAAAAAAGTATTTACTACATATGTCACAAATAAAAAAGATAAACCAATTTTTATAAATATAACTTAAAAAAATTGAACTCATGCTCAGTTATGATTACTATTGGGTTTAGTTTTCTGATAATGAAACGTTGAGTTCGCAAAAAAAGCATATGAAGAAAAAAAAGAAGGAAATTAGGGGTAGCTATCAATCCCATATAAGCCATGTAGGATGCTACGCAAAAAACACCAGTTGTTAGTGATAGTAGCAGCATGGCAGCATGAGATGACCTCCCCTTAAAGTTATAACAAGTTAGACAGCCATAAGTCAACAAAGGACTCAATACGCAAATACTTCTGAGGGATCCACGCACTGAGACATCTAAAGGTGGGCATATCAGAGTGAGCAGGGAAGAAGAGGGGTTGAGGACAGAGATAGAAGCAGCAGATACAGTCTGGTGCTCACTGTGGACTAAAAAGACACAAAAGCAAGGAAGAGTTGGGGTGACACCACTAATGGACAGAATGGAGGAGCAGAGGCAGCAATTGGGCCTTCGTGGCAGGTACACACTGAGGCTGAGTCCCAGGGTCACAGCAGAGAAGCAGTACAAAGGGTTACAGTATTCCACAAACTGCCAACACCAAAAAATAAAAAAAAAGAAAGCAGCAGTCGTGGGAACCCCTCCCCCTACCCATCCTCCTGTGGCCTGCCCAGCATTAAAGCCCTCATTTGCAGATCAAGAAAAGGCAAAAACAACTTTCAAAGCCTAAATGGTCTGTACACATTATAACCTAAGCCAGTGGAAAGAAGAGTCTCAGACATGTCAAGCTACCTCTGCTAACCTACCCTTCACCCACCCATCATGGCAGAGCCTGGTAGAGCCAGCTGAGACAGTAGTGTGGCTGGTAGCTTACATCTGCAGGAGAGTGGCACTAAGAGGCACAGACCAGCAGACCCAGAGCCTGCCACATATCACCATCCTGAGACTGAGGAGTCTGGGTTGTAAAAAGGAAGCCCACATCCTTACAGGATATGAGGTGATTCCCCCAACTGAAGAGACACCAATGCACAGAGATCAAGAAAGCCCTAGTAATGCAGGTAAAACAAAAAACACCTGTACTTTACCACCACCTACTGGAAAACAAAAGAAAGACCTCCACTTACCAATATGCTAAACAAGTGATTCTTCAACTGCTGTGCCACAGAATTTTAGAAATGTTTGTTAGAAAAGGATAAATGTTTAGAAATTTAGAAATATTTGACTACTTAGTCAGGGGCATTGACCTCTTTTCCCATAGACTGTCAAAAAAAAAAAATAACAGCAAACACAACAATAGCTGTCCCGCAGGAATGCCCTGAGGTCATACAGTACAATTCTTCTTACTGGGCATGTCACATAATAAGGTTGTGTTTGATTGGTTAATTCTTGGTACCAGATATCCTTATCTACAAGCATAGGCACCTGATTTTTTTTTTTTTTTTTTTTTTAGATTTTATTTATTTTTAGAGAGAGGGGAAGGGTGTAACAATTGATTCCCTCTCACATGTCAGCTGGGGACCTGACCTACAAGCCAGGTATGTGCCCTGACCAGGAATCGAACATTGACCTCTCGGTTCTCAGGCTGGCACTCAGGCCACTGAGCCACACTAGCCAGGGCAGCACCTGATTTTTTTTTTTTTTAAATCTTCACCCGAGGATATGTTTTTACTGATTTCAGGGAGAGAGCAAGGGAGAGGGAGAGAAACATTTGATGGGTTGCCTTGCGTACTTGTCCTGACTGGGGATCAAACCTGCAAAGTAGGTATGTGCACTGATGGGGAATTGAACCTGCAACCTTTCTGGTACACGAGACAATGCTCCAACCAAATGAGCAACCCAGCCAAAGTTAGGTACCTGATTTTTTACAAAGTCACATTGGAGCAAAACGGGTAGGTAATAACCATTATTTTTTGTTTTGTAAATCAATCAAAATCGTACACATTGTTTTGATCAGATCAGCAAAAAATGTATTTTTTGGTGTGCCACAGAATTTTAGTAATTAGTTGATATGTGCAATGATATAAAAATGGCTGAAAAATCACTGTGCTAAATAATAAACAGTCAAATACTGCAAAGAGAGGGAGAGGGAGATTAAATTCCACAAATGCTCAGGAAGAAAAATAATGCATCAAGCAAAATGAAAAACCAAGGTAAAAAGAAAGATCAGAAAGTAAATGAAAAATACAAAGAAAAAAAACTTTAAGACAAAGAAGACAGTGATTAAAATTACAGAGAATTCAAGATTATCATATTGAAAAAATTCAGTAACATACAAGAAATTTCAAAAAATTAGTTCAAGTTCAGGAATAAAATCAACGAAAAAAAGAAGTACTTTACCAAAAAACTGAAACTTTCAACAAAAACCAAACAGAAATTCTGGCTGAAGAACTCAGTAAAAGAGATGAAGAATGAACCAGCAAACTTAGGAAAAAGAGCACACCAGATGGAGAAAGAATTAGTGATACTGAAGACAGAAATCTAGAAATGACTTGGGTGGAAGAACAGATTCGAGAGTAAAAAAATTTAAAGAACTCCACAAAAACTATCTAATTTCATTAGAGAGAGCAATATTAAGAATAACTGTCATACCAGAAGAGAGGGAGAAGGGAACAACGAGTTTATTCAAAAGAAAAATCGACAAGAACTTCCTGTACGTACGGAGAGAACTGGACATTCACTCTAAGAAGCTTATAGACCTAATTTTCTCAATCCAAAAAGGCCTTCTTGTAGGTACATTAAACTGCCAAAATTTATTAAAAAAGGAAAAAAGCTCAAGGTTGCCAGGGTAAAGACAGTAACCTATGAAATAAACCCCATTAGGTTATCATTCTGTTTTTCAAAAAAAACTCTAAGGTAGGAGAGAGTGGAATCAAATATTCAAAATATGCAAAGAAAGACATCACCATGCAAGGATAACATATTAAGCAAAGTTATCCTTCACACATAAAGGAGAAATAAGGTTTTTTCCAGACAAACAGAAGCCGAGTCAAATTCCGACAAGACCTGCATCACAAGAAATGATGAAAGGTGCTCTTCTACCTGAAACAAAGACAAACAAAACTGTAAGATGATTAAAAGACAGAAGCAAAACATTTCAACTCATGTTCAGAATAGGGTATTAAACATTTAAATATAACATAAAGGTTAAAGGAGGTCAAATCTTTTTAAATAAACAAGGTAATAGATACTGCAACTGGAAATGAACAGAAAGCATAAAAGAAGATAATCTGTGACAACAAAAACATAAAAGGTGAGGTGGGAGGGACTGATCTTGCCTGGTGAATGAAGATAAAGCGCAATCACAAGGAAAAAAACTCTTGTACAATTGCAACTTTTTTTTTTTTTTTTTTTTTTTGCAGAAACCTAATGGTAACCACTACGAGACAAAAATCTAAAACTGAGACATAAACCAAGAAAAATAAAACAGCCCTGGCTCATATGGTTCAGTTGGTTGGACCATCATCCCATACATCAAAAGGCTGGGGATTTGATCCGCTGTTGGGGTATATGTAGGAGACAACCAATGCTTCTTTTTCTCTCTCTCACTCTCTCTGTCTCTCCCTCTACCTCTTCTTCTCTCTCTAAAATCAATAAACATATTTTTAAAGAAAAAGAAAACAGAGGGAAAAAAATCATAAAATACCACCAAACTAAAATAACAGACAGAAATACAAGGGAAAAAAATAGTGAAGACACAGAGCTACCAAAAACAAAAGATAAGATGGCTATTGCTACCTTCAGGAGACACACCTCAGCTACAAAGACAAACATAGTGACAGGGTAAAATACGATACTCCAAGCAAGTTGCATTCAGAGAAAAATTGGTGTAGCCATACTTAAAACAGACAAAATAGATTTCAAGATAAAAATAGGTAGCAAGAGACAGAGATGGACATTTGATAATGATAAAGGAGGTAATACATCAGGAAGACATAACACTTACCAATATACCGTGTTATGCCATGTAAAATGTGCACCCATGTTTTTATTATACCCATTACTATACACATGGTATGTAACCATTCTACCCATGTATAATGCGCATCCTTATTTTTCCCTCAAAAAACTGGGCAAAAAAGTACACATTATACACAGCAAAATATGGTATATGTACCCAACCTAGGAGCATCAAAATCTACAACACACTTACTAAACAGAAATAGAGAAAGTGACAAAAATACAAGTATAGTAGGGAACATAAATACCCATTGACAGCAATGCATAGACCATCCAAACAAAAACATCAATAACTGGAACTATAATAGCATAAACAATAACAACAACAAAAAAAAAACCAACAATGAAATATCAGTCTTAAATGAAACATTAGACCAAAGAGACATTATCAATATTTACAGAGCTTCCATATCAAATACCAGATAACACATTCTTCTCCAGTGCACGTGGAACAGTCAGTCAAGGACAGTCCCAATGTTGGGGTACAGAACTAGCCTCAACAAATTTAATAAAATTGAAATCATACTAAGCATATTCACTGACCACAATGCTTTGAAGCTATAAATCAATGGGAAAAGCTGGGAAAACTACAAACATGTGAAGACTAAACAGCATGCTACTGAAAAACAATGAGGTCAAAGAAAAAATAGAATCAGAGATCAAATGATACATAGAAACAGATGAATATGACAATACAAAAAAATCAAAATTTGAGGATGCAGCAAAAGCACTAGCATTTCAGGCCCACCTCAATAAGAAAAATCTATGCCCTGGCTGGTGTGGCTCAGTGGACTGAGAGCCAGCCTGTGAACCAAAGGGTTGCTGATTCAATTCCCAGTCAGGGCACATGCCTGGGTTGCGGGACAGGTCCCCAGTAGGGGGTGTGTGAGAGGCAAACACACTTTGATGTTTCTCTCCCTCTCTCCTTCCCTTCCCCTCTCTCTTTTAAAAATAAACAAATCTTAAAAAAAATAAAAAAAGAAAAATCTCAGATAAACAACCTAACATTTCTC